AGATGCTGATATTTTTGCAGGTTTCACTAGCATTGTCATTCAGTAGATAGCAACACCTGCATACTTTTATAGACATTTCTCTGAAATGGTCAATCCAGCAAGAACTTGCCTGCAGGAAATATTTTAGGTTAAACAAGAGAGATGCCCTTGAAGCTTACTCATTGCAAGGATTGGGTGGGATAGATTGCAAAAGATGGAAATGTTATTCTGCAGTTGCCACCCCTTCTCCCTCCAGCCCATCATTTCCACTCCATGCTTAAAAAAAAATGGAGTGGAGTGGTTCAATAATAATCATAAAGTGCCATCAAGTTGCAGCCGACTTATGGAAACCCCATGATGTTTTCGAGGCAAGAGACACACAGAGGTGGTTTGCCATTGTCTTCTTCTGCACACAGCAACCCCGGTCTTCCTTAATGGTCTTCCATCCAAATAGTAACTATGAGTGATCCTGCTTAGCTTCCAGGCTCTTCATGAGCATGAGCTATTCTAGTCCCTTCAGGCTACTAGAGTAGTTTACAGATTCTCAAAGTTGACAGGAAGCCTCACTGAAAAAATGAATATTGGTGAATTGAGAGTGAGTTTCCTCTCTGTTTAGAGAGAAATGTTACTGGCTTGCACTCTGTCTGTTTCCCTGCATCTGTTGATACACATTTACATTGAGGTGTACAGTACATTAGACGTCTGCATACCTGGGAGGCTGCCTTCTTGCCTTTGCAGTGACCATTCTTAACTGTATCTTCTGTGTACCAAGTTGAAATAGCAAGGCTGTGTAGAGCAGCGGTGGACAGAAGGCAGATTCACAGCCCAGTGGACCGCTGGGAAATTTCTGGTGGAGTGCCCAGTGCCTCCTGTGATATGTACAAAGAATTCTGGGGTAGGTTCCCTCCAACAAGCCACCATCTGAAGTAACAGCATATACTTCAGGTCATGTACTACATATTAGTTTCACTTTGTCTGTGAATCTTGGATATTGCTTGGTAAATTTCACACAGATTAGAGGAGCAGGGAGCCTGTTTAAAAAGGATATGAGCCTTTTTGAGCCTGCAGTCACCTTTAGAATTCCGACAGTGTGGTGGGTGCAGCCACAAAACATGCAAACTTCTCAAAAGAGCACTCTCCCAGGCCATGTCAATTTGGACAAGTGGTGGTGGGGCTGGTGCTTTTCCATACATGCCACTGTTGGAATAAAGCTCTCACACACCTGGGAGGAACAGAGCTCCAAGTGCACATGAGAAACAAGGTCCTCCTGACAGCTGCAAGGACTCAGCTATCTGGCCATTGCCTCAGAGCAAGACTAGAGCATCTTATCATCATTCTTGCCCTGTCAATGAAGGTTACTATTTCTTATTCAGGCCCTTCATGACAACACATTTATAAGGGTTAGGTACTCTTCCCAGGGTCACCTGACAAATCCTATTAGAGTTGAGAAAGGAGTTAAACAAGGATGTCTTTTGGCACCACTTCTCTTTAATTTTTACATCAATGATGGGGTAGCCTATTTAAACAGGCCCAAGTTCCATCCCCCAAAGCTAGACAACAGACACATAGGGGTGCTGTTATACACAGACGATGCCGTCCTACTTGCAAGGACACCCATAGGTCTCAGGAGAGCCATGAGTTCTTTTGCCCAATATTGCTAGAATAAAAACTTAGAGGTTAACTATTCAAAAACTAAAGTAATGGCCCTTACGAAAAGATCCCCCCCCCCAATTTTTCATTGTTACTTAAATTCTATTCCCATTGAACAAGTCACCTGTTTTAAATATCTGGGTGTTAACTTCCAGGCAAACGGTTCTAGAACTGTAAATATAAGCTCTGCTGCCATAAATGTCAAAAGGAGTGTGGGGGCAATTCAAAAATTTTACTGGCACAAAGAGGGCAAATGTCTTGTAGCTGCCCTTAGACTATTTAAGGCCAAATCTCTCAAGTCAACTTACCTTTGGCGCCCCCATCAATATTACATCTAACTACAAGAAACTGGATACAGTCAACTCAAAATTTTTGAGATCTGTTCTACAGGTACCTAATGGCATTCCAAATGCATTTATTCGAACTGAAACTTGAATGATGACTGTGGAGGCAAGGTTATGGATCATGGTGATTCATTATTGGCTGAAATTAGTTTTTCTATTCAAGGGGCTGATGTGTTTAACATTACAAGACACCTTTACATCCCCCGGCTTAAGGCTATAGAAGAGAAACTCCCTTATTTTGGCCTCACAAAATAATACCTGTGTTTCCTTGCCTATGACAAAGCTAGAGAATTGATAAAACAGAGGATTATGGATATTGACAGGCAGAATTAGAAGAACATACACTTCTTATCCCATCAACAGAGTAAGTCCTATGTCCTATTTTCACCATCTTCAAACCACAAATATAGGAGAATGTTTACCGTTATGCGCTGGGACGTTCCTCCTCTAGCGATTACAGAGGGAAAGTATAACAAAATTCCATTTGAAGAACGTATATATACCCCTGCTGTAACAAAGGCACTGAAAATTTAAAGCATGTTATTTTCGGCTGCAAGGCCTACAATGATCTCCCTAAATCACTTCCGCTCCCTAAGTCCTTACCCCTGATTAGTGGGCAAAGAGTTTGTATTATGACAAATCTCCTTGTGGATAGGCATTCAGAGGCATGTGGATGGTTTGCTTTAAGAATTAGAAAATCTATAACGCAGCAAGTTAAATGTCAATCATCTTACTGTTAACTGTCTGTCTCTTAAGAATTTTAAAACATATTGTTGTTTAAGCTTCTTTTATATTTATTCACAGGTGTTTTGACTATTTATTAATTTTGCTGTGTCTTAAATGTCAATTGCTGGCCTTGGCCATAAATCAAACTTTGCTACTTACTACTACTTGCCCTGTCAAAATGAAAATAAAACAAGATCACAAAAAGATCAAGTAAGAGAGAGACTGACAAATATTGCCATGCAAAAAGTAGGGGGGATGCATGCTCAGGTGTGCCAGAGTTGGAGGCCATCTAAACATTCTGGTGCTTTTAGAAAACTTTCCTATTTTTTCTGTTCTTGTGGTCACCATTGGCATTAACGGTTAGTGGAAGTGCTCCTTGTGTGTGAGCAGGAGGGTACAAAACCCCCCCCCCCCAGTTTCTGTTCATCCATTACTGCGGTGAGACATGGTCTTTTGAAATAAGATCGCATCAAGGCTACATCGTCCATTTTTCCTGCGCCAGCATCCCCGGTTTGGTTTTCCTGTCTGCTTTCTTGGCCAGCTTGAAGCTGGCAAGTTGTATCTGTTCCTTGGTCTCCCCCCCCTTTCTTTTCATAAGACTGGATGTTGGGGGGGGGTTTCCCCCCCTTTTTCACTTGCGTTCCCGCCTCTTGCGGGCTTGACTGCTTCCTTATTCCGATGACCTAGAAAACAAATTCTTTTAAACTATCAACGCCATCATAAGAACATATTGAAATGATTTTCCTGGGAAGGCATTTTTTCAGACGCTGAAAGAAGAAATCTTGTTTAAGCATACAAGCTTAAAACAGTCCTCTCTCTGGCTAGTTGGCAAGAATTTCCTTCAACAAGATGCCCATGTGACCTTTATTAAGGCCATGGGATGTGGGCCAGCGTTTGATATGCAAATAAGTTCAGACTGCTTCTGCTAACAAAAGAAAAATAAGATCAGGAATATCCAGGGCTAATTCTTCACATATATATACACACTCTCTCTCTCTCTCTCACTCTCTCTCACTATAATCATGCATTGGGGGCTGTTCACTCAGCACCCATTCATGTCCTTTAATTTACTGCAATGATTTCCTATTGGCTGAAGGAAATCATTAATCACTGATCTTTCTTTGAAGTTTTTTCAAAGAGGTGGTTATTAACCCAACCACTAGATCAGGATAGGGCATAAAATAATAATGAGGGGATATGACAGGGGAGACCCCAAAACTAATCATTCTTTGCATAGGTTAAGGTTTCCACAAAGGTTTCTATAAAGGCACATAAAACTAGAGTGCACAATGAGTCTTAGTAAGATGGCTGAGAAAGTTAAGTTCTGCAGGCCAATTTTTTTTCTTTGGATCTAGGAGCCAGCCCAAACAATTAGAAGCCAGAGTTATTTTTCAGCCATCAAGACTCTGTATTTGAACAATGAGGTTTTGTAATTGCTACCACAGTACCTAATCCTAACTTCAGTTAGGTGCAGTATGTACAATAAACGCAGGGGTAACCATGGTTGTCTTCACCACAATAAAACGCTAATCCCAATCTAAAACACCCATTTCTGAACAACAGCATAACTATAAAATAAACATACATCAAGTAGGGCATGGAGGTTAACTCAGAAATGTACCCAAGGGGCATGCACATCCACCCACACTTCTTCAGGGCTCCAACTACCATTACTTAAGATGCATGAATGTATTATTTATTCATTCAATTTATCCCCCCCCCCCCCCCCGGGGGCAGGGTAGGCTCAGGGCGGCTTACATAAAATGTGTATATAAATACAATTAAAATCCATCATAAAAACAACCAAAAACCATAAACAAATCCGTTTATTACGTTTTGTTGTTGTTATGAATATTACATTATGCTTTTTCATTGTCCCTAACCATCAGGATGGGGCAGAGATTTCCAAAGCTAGTTGAGTCCTGCTCAGTTATGATCACAGAGAGAAGTGGCAGGAGCTGGCAAGAGCAGCAGCCGCAGACAAAACTAAGGCACGATCACTGTTAGCAAGTGGAGGTTTTTGGACCATGGCCATAGAAAGGAGAGGAAGAGGAGCAAGAGTTCCTTTGAAGCAGTACCAGTTTGGGCATCAGTACCACCTCTGCTCAGACTTTCAGCAGCAAAAGAACCTGGTTCACGTGCTGGATGTGATGTCAGGCACCTGAGTGTTAGTGCCATCTGCAGTTGCAACAAAACAGTCAGTATTTTTTGTCATGGACCACAACAGAAGATTTGCTAAATGCTAGCAGCAGCACTCTCTTCTCCACAATTCTGATTCATGGGCCTCTTTTCTCTTTGCAGATATGCCACCACCGCTCCTGCCAATGGACCTCAAAGGGGAACCTGGACCGCCTGGGAAGCCTGGCCCAAGAGGCCCTCCTGGCCCACCTGGCTACCCTGGGAAACCTGGCACCGGCAAACCAGGACTTCATGGCCAACCAGGCCCTGCTGGCCCTCCTGGCTTTTCTGGTATCGGCAAACCGGGTATCCCTGGGCTTCCCGGCAAGGCAGGGATGAAAGGGATGCCCGGGGTGACAGGGGAGCCTGGCGTAAGGGGAGACCAAGGGCCAAGAGGCTTGCCAGGCCCACCAGGGTTGCCTGGACCAGCTGGTATTTCCGTTAATGGCAAACCAGGCCCACCAGGTGGCCCAGGCCTACCAGGATTCCGGGGGGAGCCTGGAGCCAAAGGAGAGCCTGGTCCCCGTGGCGACCGTGGCATGAAGGGTGAAAATGGAGTTGGAAAACCAGGGCTGCCTGGACAACGAGGGAATGGAGGAGCCCCTGGCCCCGCGGGGCCTCCAGGACCTATGGGCATTGGGAAACCTGGACTTGATGGATTGCCTGGTGCTCCAGGTGGGAAAGGTGACTTGGGGCCTCCAGGTGAGCCAGGTATCAATGGGCAGCCTGGGCCTATGGGTCCACGTGGCCCACCTGGAGTTGATGGAATTGGCATACCAGGTGCTGCTGGTATACCAGGCATGCAAGGCCCTCTGGGTCCTAAGGGGGAACCTGGCCTCCGCGGTCTTCCTGGTATGCCTGGGCCTACAGGATATGGGAAGCCAGGTCTGCCTGGCTTAAAGGGAGACCGTGGTCAACCAGGCATGCCTGGAGCCCTTGGTGACAAAGGGGAGCCAGGAATAGATGGTGAGCTGGGAGAGATGGGCCCCCCTGGCATTACTGGGTCACCAGGCCCTCCCGGTTCTATGGGTATGCCAGGCAAGCATGGAATTCCAGGCCCTAAAGGTGAGCCTGGACCAGCTGGGCCTGCAGGACTACCAGGCATGCGTGGGGACCAAGGGCCCAGTGGTTTTGTGGGGAAGCCAGGGATTCCTGGAGAGGGGGGGTTGCCTGGGCCCCAAGGAATGCCTGGACCAATGGGCCCCAAAGGGGAAAACGGTTTCATAGGGCTTCCTGGGGTGCCAGGACAAATAGGGCCTATGGGCTCTAAGGGAGATGCAGGTATCCCAGGGCAACCAGGCCTTCGAGGCCCATCAGGCATACCAGGTTTACAGGGGCCTTCTGGTCCAATGGGCCCTCAAGGTTTACCAGGCCTAAAAGGGGAGCCTGGCTTCCCAGGGCCACCAGGAAATGGCAAAGTAGGTGAGCCAGGGATTGTTGGTCCCATGGGGCCACCAGGGGTTCCTGGAAATCCAGGATTAAATGGGCCACCGGGACCACCAGGGCTACCAGGACCACCTGGTGCACCAGGGATGTTTGATGAGACAGGCATCGCTGGCCTTCACTTGCCAGATGGAGGTGTAGAGGGAGCAGTGCTGGGGAATGGCAAGCACGGGAAGCCACAGTATGGCAGAGGGGAACTATCTGCTCAGATGGTACCTGCCTTCACTGCCATCTTAACCTCGCCATTCCCAGCCTCAGGTATGCCAGTAAAATTCGACAGGACTTTGTACAACGGGCATAATGGCTATAATCCAGTGACAGGGATCTTCACGTGTCCCATCTCTGGCATCTACTACTTTGCCTATCATGTCCACGTTAAAGGAACTAATGTCTGGGTGGCACTTTACAAGAACAATGTACCTGCTACTTATACCTACGACGAATACAAAAAGGGCTACTTGGACCAAGCTTCCGGAAGTGCCGTGCTTGAACTCAAAGAGAATGACCAAGTCTGGATCCAGATGCCATCTGATCAAGCCAATGGTTTGTACTCCACTGAATACATCCATTCTTCTTTTTCTGGATTCCTTCTCTGTCCCACATAACAGCTGTTGGACATATCTCCTTTTATCTACTTTAGCCATAAACTGTATTTCAAAAGAATAAGTAAATACAAAACGTCACTGGGAGGATGGTACAACCTGGTGGTGAAGAACCATTTCAGCCATGAAGAGATCAGTAGAAGAGAGACTTTATTGGCAGGTATTTTCAGTACCAATCTTTGTATTCAGAATATAGTTTTCCCTAGTGACTGTACATCAGACACAGATGCTAACTTGGGGATCAGTTGCCAGCCCATTCGATCAAATGCACAGAAGGCATTTGATCGATGGCAGCACATGGAGAACTGCAGCCTGAAATGTATAAAGGTGTAGAATTTCTTATTAGACTGAGGCATCTCCTTCCAAATTTAGCATTTGCTCATGTTTCAATTTTCTGTTGTGAAATGTGATCAGAGTCAATTTTGGGGGGTAATAAATACTCGACAGGGTGCGGAACACTTTGCATGAACACCTTATACAGAATGATCAACATCTCTACAGTATCCTGTCTGAGGTATATAGAGAACAGGATGGCAAGCAAAACATATTTCAGAGCCATTCAGAGAGTGTTGTGATTTCACGCCCCCTCCAAGACTCTCTAAGTCACGTTCATCTATTGGCAAGGAAAAATACTTGACATCCATACCTTGTATAAGGCAGTGGCCCAAAAACATCAACGGCCCTGTGAAGGGGTGCCTGACACTTCCAGTACAAAAGCCCTACAAGGCATTGCTTCCAATGCTGGCTTTCTCAGCTGGGAAAGGATGTGTTGCTCTATCTTCAAAGTGCCAGTTAATAGTTTCTTTCAAGATGTGTAAATTTTTTTGTTATTGTTGGTGAGGGTACCCAGCCTCCATGAAATTTTCGATTTACAAAAAATAGAATCCATTTGTAACTTTCCATTTGGTTGTTTTTTACAATGGTGCTATTAGCTACTTAATGTTATTCACAAGTATAGTGCAATATCTATCACAAAAAGATGCAAAATGTTATGTGCAAAGATTTCTGTGATTAAGAAAAAAGGAATAATTTCATTGTTGTTGTTTTTTAAACCACTGTCTCACTAATGCTTGAAATGTCACCCATCTGACTCTGGGTTACAAGGTTACTCACAGGTTTTGGAAAGAGGAGGTGTGGATTGTTGGTCATATGAATGTCTTCATTTAGGACCATTCAAAGCCTTTTGTTCTACAGAGTGCCTTAAGAAACAGTAAAGCCTTATGTTGCTCTTTTTTTTTAAAGAGAGACCTCATCCTTGAGAAACGACATGCTGTTTAAATGATACCACATAAAATTATGCTAAGAATCCCTTTCTGTATAGAACTGTGCTGAAGAGGAAAAAAAATAATAGATGAATCCAGTCTGTGTTCAAAGACTATTATGTTCTTGCATCCAAGATGCTCACAATATGGCCAGTGATTTGGTATGCTTCTTCAGGTTTACTGTAGATAGAAATATTTAAACCATGTTAGAAAAACAACACAATCAATGATGAGTTTGTAACAAGTGTTCCACTGCAAAAGGTATGCATGTGCAGAGAAAACCCCAATCTGGATTACAGAAGGTAGTAGGGGAAAAAAGAGAGAGCACTGAGGGACTTGGGTGGCCTCTTTCTGGCCGTGATGCCTCCCTCCTTTAACAAGCAGTGGCCCCGGTCACACGGAGAATTTGCCGCGCGGAAGGCACAAATGCTGGGCGGATTTTCAGGGCGTGATCACACCACAACATCTGGGAAGCGTAGTGCACCTGTGGCCAACCCGCGGCATGCCGCCAAAGATGCGCAGATAAAGTACCTGCAAAGATCAACTAGCAAATGGTTTGCCACGGGCTGCAGACGGACTCGTTCAGTGTGATCGCGCCGGCGCGCGCATATTCCCTCCGGCCGTCCTCTTTGCAGCGCGCGCGCCGAAGGACAAAACCCCGTTGCGCCGCTGTCACATCTGATCGCATAATGGCAGGTCAGAATGCGACGGCGCAAATAGCCACGCCTCCCTCCCACGTTTTCTGGCATGTGTGGCCAGGGCCAGTGTGACTTAGACACCACAAAAGATAGGCCCCAGATTTCCTATACCATCTGCTGTTTTCAAAAATTCCTGAAGACAGTGAGAATGCCAAGGGCACAGTGCACTTGCAGTAAGGTTTTTGGTTTCACACTGGGTCACAACAGGCTTAATTTGAAGAAGACCCAATGCACACATTTTCTAGGTGACTAATATTGGGGAAAGGGTGCTTGGAGTCATGTGCCATCAATTTAAACATATTTTCCTTTGGAAAACAGCATTAAAGCTTCAATTTTTAACACCATTGGTTCCAAGAAAATGTGTTACTGTTAACACAGTCACACTGCCAAAGGCAGAAAGAGTGGTGGATAAGTATTCTAACAGCAATTTAATATCATACTAAACTAAGATCTACTCCCAGGTGCCTTGTACAGTATTTATACTGTGTTCTAACACAGACACAATCTCCCCCCCCCCCCCCCCCCTTTTTAATCTTTCCTTACTTGTGTTCTGGCAGGCAAGAAAACACAAATGACAAACTGTACAGACTCAGTAACATTAGCTGATTCAGTTCTATAAGTACCATTTTGCACCCTCACTATTCTCATAGAAAGTATTAAAACTTCTGCATTCATATAACTTCTTAAGTACAGCATATTAAAAGGTATCTTTATTACACAAATGAACAGGCTGGTTGGCAAGTTGTGGATTAGCTTATTTTTATTGAAGTAAAAATAAACCTGTCTGAGAGAAATGTTGGGTTTTCATGTGCAAATAGGGGGGAATTTGGTTTCAGTCAGTAGAAAGATCAGGTTTGAAGACTTCTTTCAACTATGCATTACAATATGCATTTTTATATACCAATCCTTTTTTAAAAAAAAAAAGTTTGCCTCTAGTATCTTCATTTCTAACCTAGTATATAGAGAGGTTGATTTTGTTTTTAGTTTTGTAAATACTTATGTTACATGCACTGTTTCTTAGTAAATTTGGTTTAAAATGCACTCTTGTTTTGTGATCAAAAACTGGCCTTCACTTCTGAACTGAAACTACAGTACTTGATTGTATTGACCCAACATCAATAAATCTTATTTTAAAAAAAAATGTATTTCAGTCACCCCGTTAGAAAATTAAGCCTGTGTACAAACATTTGCATTACTTTCTGCAGTCGTCATTTGCAGCATGAAAGGAACTATGCAGGAGGGTCATAATCCAGGAGAATATGAACAGCCCAGCCTCCCTGCCACACCCTCCCATTCAAGGATTGATCCAACCAGTGGTCATCTGATGCATGTGGAGGCTTCTTCACTCCCAAGGGGTACCACCTGTATCAAAATGAACAGGGAAAGCCCTTGCCTGTGGGGAACTACCCCTTTGTGCACTGGGAAATTGCAGAGCTTTCAGTTGGGGCTTTATTCCTCAATATGTACCAGCTAAAACTCGGTGACTTTGTTCCCTGAAGACAAAATACAAAAAAATCCCCTTGATACCTTTGATTTATAAGTAGCAGCTTTAAAAAAAAAAAAAACTATTTGCTTTTGATATGAAAGACTTGCAGAAAAATCAGTCTCCAAGAGTCCGAATTACTCAGTCACGAGAGGAAGTAACAGTCAGAGGAAAAAAGCAACTTACATTGAGGATCCAGAAGACTCATTTGATGAATTTCCACCACAATGTGAGCTGCAGGGCTAGGCTTACAGGCCCTGCCCTTACCTGAGTTCTTACAAGCACAGCTTCTCTCATTCTTCCCCTAGCACAACCCAATCTCTACACAGGGCAAAAAACCTGCTTGCCAAACCACTGTGAAGCTCACTTTGGTCCAGGCACCCTCATAGACGTCTGGCACAGGCTCCTCTGTTTGACAATGTGACATTTAAAAGTAAGACAACTTGAAATCAGGGGCAGTATTAAAAAAAATATGTAAACAACAGAAAGCAAATGGAGGTTACAGGCATTTGGATATAAGGAATAAACATCAGCCACTCAGTGCTTCCTGGGACTATTTCCCTTGATGGAAGGATCCCCTTTATTTCGGATGACCATCACATCTGCTGAAGGACTAAAAGGGAATAGAGATCACAGGGCACAACAGCATATTATTTGGTACCAGATTCCCTCTGCCGCTGACAGTAGAGTTCATACAAATTGTTGGCCATTTTCTCTGTCTCCTCAAAAGACTCACAGCTATGCTTCCAGCTTTCGGGCACTTGCTCTTCCCCACAGTAAGCTCCAGCAATGGCTCCAGCCATAGTTGCAATGGTATCTGTGTCCCCACCCAATGAGATGCAGTAGATGATGGTCCGCTGCAGGCAATTGTAGTCCCTGGGGATATCTGGATGAGATTCCATGCAGCGCAGGAAGGAATATATGGCAGTAGGGACCGAATGCAGAGCTGCAATGCCGTTGCCTGAGGAAAAAGAATCAACTCCTTTAGCAAAGCACTTCAGATGCACTTCACCATCAACTGCAAAGCTCCCATTAAGTTCAAAGTTAATGCAAGGTGCTTTAATAATGCTGATGTAAGGCAACGGATTTAAAGGCCTTCCTCACCTATATTATAGCATTGCAACACATTAACACAGGAAGCCATTACCCCAGCCATATCAAAACATAGATGATACCGGTACAGAGAAAAATCTCAGATAAGTCTTGACACCCAGTCCATTGGAGACTGGAGGTCTAGGCTTCGAGTCCTGCTCCTTGAGTCCCGCCTCGGCTTTGATTCCCCCCCTTTGCAAAAGAGAAGGCAAAGTTCTCAACAGTGGCAGAAGGAAAGGACAAAGTATAAAGCTAGGGATTACAAAGAATTGCACAGCAAGCTCAGCTGGGAAGGGAGGGGAAAGACTAGTGTGATGCTGAAGTAGGACATCTCCTTGGTGTTAATGCTGCTGTTGCTCTTACAGGAAACATGCTGCTGAGACAAACAACTCCAACTCTAGTCATGTAACAGAAAGGAAGTCATCTAAGATATTTCAGGAAACCATTTATGCCATCACCATCACAAGCATCCTATAGCAAAGAGTTTCATTGTTCAAGTAGGCATTGTGTGCAAAGATGCTTTGTGTGTGTGTGTGTGTTAAACACCTAAACAACCAACATCAAGACTGAGAGAGGAACAGACAGAACACATTTTACTCCCCTTACCAGCGCTCCTGATTATAAGCCATGCACAATGATTTTATTATTATACGGACTGCAGAGTAAAGAGCTTTCTGAAAACAAAACTGGAACCGCTTACCTAATTCAACCACCACATCTGAATTTGGCACGGTTTTCTGCTCCAGAAATTCTTTGATTTTCTTTAGTCTTTTCGAAAAGGGTAATTCTTCATAGCCAAGCCTGGAGATGAGAGAGCCAGGGTGAAACAAATGCTTCAGCATGCTGCCCTCTTGTGTTACACATAGGTATGTGCATCCCCTGCCTTCTCTGCCCTCAGTTCCCAAAGTATCCAGGTAGTATGTTTAGCAGTGTAGAGAATAGTCAAGTGCCTCATTTACTAAACTGATTTCTGTAAATTACTCATGTTTTTCAGTTACACAGAACATTCTTAGCTATTTTGGGTAAATATTGGACTAGGCCATAATCCTTGAGGAAAAATATACATGTAAGATGAGTCGTGAAGGTTTTTTCCCCACAGCCTATCAATCAGATGCACAGGCAAGCCAATTTTAACTGGGAAACTGCAAATGTCTATTAATCAAACATTTATCATTTCAAACTTAATTAACTGGATACTGCTTATTTCAGAATAGGGAGTCTATTATTCCAGATCAGAAGCCCTTAAAATATACAATAATTTCTTCTCACTCTGATGCTACAACATTTGTACAGAGAGAACAGCAAAAAAATATGTAATTTGATAAAACCTGTAACAATAACTTTTCGGATACCAAAGCTACAACTTTAGCACAGCTCTGCCTCCCTTTAGAAATAAATTGCCTTGAGCATTACAAACTGTTCCACAACTAAATGGAGGATACTTGGGAGGGTTATAGCACTGATCCCAATAAAAATGAATTTGGGAACCAGTCAGTGGACAGGTTCTGCTCCAGGGGTGCTTCCACATCAAGGATTCCATACATTTCAGTCACGCAAGTGTATTTTCCCCATGTTTCCACATGACATTGTCATGACCCCCTGTGGGTTGCCACCTTCATCTGCAACCACTCTGGACTTAGGGCCCCTTGGGAAGGCCCAGAGTACCCTCCCAAGCCCAATCGAAATGCCCTTTTTAAGCCGAGAAATATAGGCTTGATGACCAGGCAGAGAACATTAAACAAATGGTTTATTAGTACAGTAATGGGGCATTGAAAACAAGACAAGGTGCTTAAAATACATAACAGTGTTTAAAGGCAAAATAAACACAAAGCTAACGTGACTACCTATTTCATTTAACTGGTTACTATTCAAGGCCCACAGCCTCTTATGCCAGGCCTGTGCCCGTACTCACTCTGTCCCAAGTGAGGGATCTTTCTCTCAGCTTAACTCTGTCCTGTTAGCTCTGTGAGGGAAAAGAACAGTTTTTGCACCCCACAAAGGTTAAGTGACAATCACCTCATACAATCCCTGGACACTGATTGGCTACAAACCATCACTAAGCATTGTGGGGATTGTAGGCTGTCAGCTTTCCACTCCCACACATGTCTCTCCTGGGCCTAGGCCTCAAGGCCTTGTCTCCCAGTCCTACACAGATCATGATACACACCCCCACTAGACCAAATCATGGGGTCCAGCCATCAGGAACCCCATTGATGAGGGCTGCATAAGAGTGATCTGTGTTGGTTCTGCCATTACGCATATACAATACAAACAATAATAAAACAGTAAAACAATATTCTGATCAACATTAAAGAGAATACAACTTCAGGTTAATTCATTGCAGGTCCTCCTGGATCAAAGTTCTTCTCCAAGCTCTCATCATCAGTAGTAGCAAGGCTTTCGCTGGGAGTAAGTTCTGAATTGGATCCTAACCACGCCGTTGAGTTCAGAGGTTTTGGACATTCTGCTTTTGTGTTATCTTCAGATGTATACCTGGCTACTATATCCTGTAACACATGCAGTGCTCTTTGTCTCAAATAGTCTGAATTTAGCATCTGAATTTCATGAAAAAGCTCAATTAGAAAATGAAGGTGAGATTCGTTTTGAGACATCAAAGTAGCTACTTCAGAACAAATGGTGTCTCAAAGCTTCAAACATAGAAAGATCACTGCCTGTTTCTGGTGCTTCTATGCATGCATTTCTGTTAGACTGCTGCAGTATTCTCCTGGCACATGCTGAGGACAATTCTGATGATCTACTGTATTTAATTATTTTCTCTAGTTGTTCCCGATTCTTTTTACTGAATACTTTCGCTTGGACAACTTCTTCCTTCCAAGTTGAGTGTCTGTTCCTATTGCTCTTGTAAGGTTCACGTGTACTAGAAACACAGGCACTTTCATAACCTTCAGTTTTAGCCCTGTTTTTAAAGTGGGAAGTACTCCTTTTCTTATTCTTTGACTTAGGCATTTTGTGTTTAGAAGCCAGAGTGGCCTGTGCAGATACTTTCCTAGGTTTGAATATTTTTGTCGCAGTAGTAGGATCCACTGGATCTGGCATGCTACTAAAGCTCTCCAGAGATTCTTCATCAAATTCTCTTCTCCTGCTGGTGTCAGGTTGACTTTTGTGATTACCACTAATGGAATTTTGTACTGGCACTGCAAACTCAGTCTTGAGGAACAACTGGCTCTCTTTTTCTCCACTCTGATGGTCATTTACCCAAGTCAGTCTACTGTTCTCCACTTCCTCTTCAGGCTGCTTCACCTCTCTTGGCTTTTCTGCTCCAGTAGTGGAACTACTTTCAAAGGACTTTGGAATTGCCATATATTCAGTTTTTCCAGTAGTGTTATGTTCTAGGGGTGGTTGCTGATGCTGTTGTTCACTGGTTTGAGCAACATAGTTGCGTGGAAAGTCATCCAAAATAGATGGGATCATGGAATCAAAGTTGATACGGACTTCTTCCAGGCTGCCGTCTTCCTCTTGATCCTTCTGGAATGCAGTCGGAGTCACTGGATGAGACTCTACCACCATCGGCTCTACAACAGGGTCTGGAGAAGTTGCTGGGGTGTGCTCACCTTGCTGCTACTTCTCAGACTGATGACAGGTTAACACCCTTATGTAGACATCGGTTTGCCGGCTGGGTTCCTCAGAAACATCTTCAAAGTCCTTTAAGAACTGCTGGTAGACATCTTCCTCTGGATTGGCCTCCTTTTCTGCCAGCCCAGGTTCATGGACTCTGGGTTCCATGGTCATATGCTCCACTAAATCTTCCCCCACAGACATGGCTACCGGGGTATAATCGTACACAGCTACCTTCCACGATCCACTCCAACCTTCATAGCTGATCAGTAGCTGGGCCACAGGGAGCACGAGCCTTTCTGCTTCGTGCAAACGCCTTACCCGCCTCTCTTCTCCTGGGAAGAGGTACTTGGGATTGATTAGCGAGTGATGCACTGTAGTTAGGAGGGAGCCAGTATCTCACCAGCCTGCTACTTCTTGGCCATCCATCTGGACCTTCTTCCGGTGGCACTGGGGAATATACTCCGGATCAAATACAGGAGGTTTCCAGCATCATGTGGTGCACGCTGGTTCTGTCATTAGGGCACTGCTTCCAGATATGACCTAGTTGGTTGCACGCAAAACACCGGGGCACTCTCCTCTCCTCATGTGGTGACTTCACCACGGTATTTGAGGGAACATTCCACTGCTGTTGTGGCGGCTCTCCGGTCACTTCTGATGGCTTACCAGACCGAGGTGGGGACTTAGGAGACTCCCTCTTACCCCAGTCACGAGGGGTGCTGTACCTCTGCCATCCGAAGGCTTCAGCCAGTCGCTCGGCCCACTGTCCGGCTTCCTGAAGAGTGGGAGGACTCTTGTCCACAAGGGGGTGCCTAATATGCTCTGGAAGAAGAGTCAGGAATCTGTCGATGTACATCAAGGCCTTCATGTAATCCATGGTCTTGGCCTCAGCAACCTATACCCATAAATCATAGGCTCTTCCCAGCCTATACATCAGCTGGGGGTAGGGCTCTTTACCTCTCAGCATGATCTCCATAAGCGCTTTCGGGCCCCTTCTTTGGTGAACCCCACACTCTCACGCACTCTTTGTTTGAAGAGCGTATAATTGGTCCTCTCTTCGCCTTCCATCTGGCCCGACACTGAAGCCAGGACTCCACACAGTTGCGTTCTCAGCTTTTCCATATACTGTTCTTTGGAAACCTTGTAGTCTATGCAGACCTGTTCAAAATTCTGAAGGAAGGCCTCGATGTCATCCCCTTCCTTATACAGAGGGTATTTCCTTCTATCCCCTTGTACATCAGCATCTGGAGGAAGTGAAGGTGGCCCTTTTTCCAACTTTGCCATTTCAAGCTCATGCGCCATCCTCATTCGCTCCAGCTCTATTTGGGCTGCCCTGTCTCTCTCTTTCTCTTCCTTCAGCATTCTCTCTCTTTCAAGCTCTCTCTGTGTGGCCTTGTCTCTTTCTCTCTCTTTCTTTAGCATTCTCTCCCTTTCCAGCTCTCTCTGAGCTGCCTTCTCCTCTTTCTCAAGTTCCATCTGCTTAATTTGCAGCTGGAGACGCAAGACCTCTTCACTTGGGGTTGCCATCTCTCCATCTGCTTTCTCCTAACTGATCAGCAGCCCCTGCTCTGGTCTTGCTTCTAGGCACAGGTGTGTCCTCTGGCTTCTATCTCCCAGAACAGGGGAACATACACTGCCTAACTCTAGCCTCTCTGTCCAGTTGACTTGACAGCTAGAAATAAATAAAACCCCTTTACAACACTGTTATTAGACCTTTTCTTGGTCTAACCGGCACCTTAAAAATGTGGCTTCCTGAAGCCAGACAAAAGAGAGGAGATTTTTTTAAAAAGAAAATAAACCAATTATCCTCTGCCTCTCCAGGTCAACATCTGGCACATCCCACCGCTAAAAGCCACCATGTCATGACCCCCCTGTGGGTTGCCACCTTCATCTGCCATTACTCTGGACTTAGGGTCCCTTGGGAAGGCCCAGAGTACCCTCCCAAGCCCAATCAAAATGCCCCTTTTAAGCCAAGAAATATAGGCATGATGACCAGGCAGAGAACATTAAACAAATACTTTATTAATACAGTAATGGGGCATTGAAAACAAGACAAGGTGCTTAAAATATATAACAGTGTCTAAAGGCAAAATAATAAACACAAAGTTAACGTGACAACCTATATCACTTAACTGGTTACTATTCAAGGCCAAAACAATAGTGATAATACAGTACACTGAGTACAGAAAACAAACAAGCACTGTATGAATAACGCAGACCATGGAGTGCACAAAGGTCATGCAAAAGAAAATTATATTATAACAAAAGTGAAACTAACAAAAATAACAAAGGACCACATGTATCAGTAAAGCAAGATTACATCATAAAATGTGCAAGTCCATAAAAAGTCCATAAGTTCATAAGTAGTTGACGAAGACTCCGGATTTTGATCTTCGTTTCGAGGGTTCTTCTTCAAAGAGTTCAAACTACTAGAATTGTAAGTAAAATACAAACCATTATTATCATATTAATAATAAACAAAACCATATCCTATAAACCAAAAGCTAAATATTACCTTCATAAAGTACTGATAATGTACAGAAGACTTCAATCATGTATATGTACATAAGTAAAAATAGCAATAGGGCTTTTAGCATTTTTGGACTTAAAATATTTCATCTTTACGGCTTTCAAGCAATCATTCGAAATTGGCTGCTACTTGTGAGTTGTTGTAATCCATCTTTAGAATATAGTTGTTTAACGAGTAGAAATAGGAATTAGGCTTTTAATCTTCTGTTACTTTAAGAATTTCTGTGCTATGGTGCCTAACAGACATTCACTACAGTATATTAAGCTTTCATGAGCTGACTGTATTTTTGAGGCTTACTGACTATTTGAGAACATGTTCCACTATTGATTGGATGCCCGGCTTTATATTAGGATTAGGACTGGTGAGCTTTATGACCTTTTAATAATTAATTCTGTAATTTTTGTGACTATAAATGTATTTACTTGTTTCCCCACCCCCCCTTCAGAATTTTTCCTGTAATACTAGTCTGAAGGCTTTTGTGCTTTATGAGTGCTGTGTGAAGGATTTTTCCTACATATACATGATTGAAGTCTTCTGTACATTATCAGTACAGAAGGTAATATTTACCTTTTGGTATATAGGATATGGTTTTGTTTATTGTTAATATGATAATAATGGTTTGGATTTTACTTACAATTCTAGTAGTTTCTTTGAAGAAGAACCCTCGAAACGAAGATCAAAATCCGGAGTCTTCGTCAACTACTTATGAACTTTACTATTCAAGGTCCACAGCCTCTTATGCCAGGCCTGTGCCTGTACTCACTCTGTCCCAAGTGAGGGATCTTTCTCTCAGCTTAACTCTGTCCTGTCAGCTCTGTGAGGGAAAAGAATACAGTTTTCACACCCCACAAAGGTTCAGTGACAATCACCTCATATAATCCCTGGACACTGATTGGCTACAGCAGTCGCTAAGCATTGTGGGGATTGTAGGCTGTCAGCTTTCCACTCCCACACAGGTCTCTCCTGGGCCTAGGCCTCAAGGCCTTGTCTCCCAGTCTACACAGATCATGACAGACATCTTCTTCTATTTGTGCACAGACTATTAACAGCCTTCTATACAGACACAAAAATCTGTATTTTAAACCTGTAAGAGAAATTTATGTTTCCTGGGCAAGACACTATCAGCACCAGCAGTTTGTTTTATCTGAAGGGGAAACAGCATCAAAGAGCTAGTCAGTTAATCATTCCTTGATGAGGCAAGGAGCTAGTCTCCATCAGAAATTAATGTAACAGAAGAGAATCCCCTGCCTTTTAAACAGAGGGGAGGGGATTGGTGGAGGACTTTTTTTTTGCTTTGAATTATCCTGCATTGTGCTTGTGTAGGGGTTTTGTTGTTGTTGTTGTTTTAAAGAGCATCACCCACAGCTCAGCTTGCTTTTTAGGGGGGGATCATTAGTGGTGTCTGCAAATACACACAGATTTTTTAAAAAAGTTTTTTTCCAAAAGGTATTGCATTTTTTCTATGCCGTGCTATTCATGTTCCTCAAAATTAAAAAAAAAAGATTAAAATAGGGTGGTTGGAGAATCCTGAGGTTCATATGAGAATACAGTGGGGAGGGACTCAATGCACATCAGGTGCGAAAGGAAAACTGCATTAGCAGTGGAAAGAAAAGATTACTGAGAGCTGTCTGGAATCTGCACTGCAACACAATTTCACACAGAATTGCATCAGCAACCAGACTACCATGGAAAATCACCCTGGTGTGGAAGCAGCCCAGATCTATTTGTTCAGTATATTTCTTTTTACCTTGGCCAAATTAAAGCTGGTAAAATAATCCCCGAGGCACATTTCAGCATAGAACTATTTTTTCCTTAAACCACAGATGGACACCCTTTTATGTATAGTGGCCAATTCCCCTCTAATAAAAATACCCCCATAGTTGTCTCAAATCCTCCTACCCAACCCCAGTCTCCTCTATAAACAGCAAGCTGTGGAAAAGTGAGCTAACATGTCAAGCTGTAACATAACGTAAGGATGAAATACCCGTTGCAGAACAGAAGTTATAAGCAGACTTTAACGCACTGGAAAAAGCAAGACTTGGTCAGCCACAGAACAGATGACTCAGTACATTCTTCTACCGAATGCAGCCATGACAAAGAACTTTCTGAATAATGCTGGCAGCTGGCACAACACTCCAGGCTAAAGTTAAGGGCCCAGTCCTTTCAGCCCTAATACTCATTCCTCCTAATACCATTAAAAAAAATGTAAATCCACCGCATGAGTGGTTCATGTAAAATGGAAGATTTTCCTTTGGTCACATATCAGGATGACAGAACATCTCTTGGGAAGTTGACCAAGGAGCACCAAGTCATTTCCTCCTGGCAGATGTTACTTACATTCGTGCATCAGCCACAGACTTATCATCCATTTCTACCTCTTCCATGTGGCCTATCAGCTGCTCCAGGAATCTGTCTCGATTCAGCTCCCCCTGGAGAGCGTAGTGAACTGCCAAGGCCTGCAGTATGGCTCCGTTATAGCCCAGGGAGTTGGAGTGGGTCAGCTCAGCACTCAGTTTAGCAAACTGTAAAAGACAGTGTTTGAAAAGCTAAGTCTGAAGAAGTGAAAAACAAACAAGCAGGTTTGTATGTCCACCTTAACAACTTTCTGACAACGGGTACCACTTTAGGAAGTACTGACAAGACCACAGAGTGATCTAGTGCAGGTCAGCCTTCCCCAGAAGACTTCCTTGTGAGCAACATGCAGTATCTTTGTTCATCAAGTCTTAGCTATGGCATTAATCAACAGCTTCGGGGTAATCAAAGCTTAATAAAATCCTAACAAATTGATCTTACTGTTTTAACATCTGCTAATCACTTGTTAGAGTTTATGGTAGAGATGGGATAAAAAAATACATCCTGATAGATTTTCACTTAGACTCATAGGATCATAGAGTGGAAGGGACAAAGCTTGAACCACAATAACATATAAATTCGAGCACAAACCCATTGTGAGTAAACGTTTCTCTAGAAACACCCCCAGTAGAAAGGCTATATCCTTCTTACTGGCTCTGGTCACTCCATGTCATGGAAGGGACTCTCTTCAATTAATGTTTAAATCTTTCTTCTTGGACTTTACAGCATACCTAAACAGTGAACTTCCCCTGCAGTCCTCAAGGAACAAGCATCAGATGTCTGCAGGTGGAAACTATTGGGGGGGGGGGAATAAGAGCAATCTGCTGTATCACAGATGACTTGGTTCAGCTATAACAGCAAACCTAGATTTTTAAATTGTAATATGTTGATTTTATTGTATAACTAACTGTTGTATAACTAAGCCCTGCTTGGCGGGGAAAGGAATGGGATATAAGCTGAATAAATAAATTGTTCACACAATCTCTTTTCTTCTCGCAACCAATTAGCATTTCCCTGGCTTGCAGTAAATCAGATTTTGTCATTACACTTGAAATAGCAGGAGCTTGCACTTGCCTGGCAAACCAGGATGGAAAACAGGTAACAATCTATAGTTTGCAATCCTGACTTGCACTGTGAAAGGGAGGAAAGGTGAAATGTGAATGAGCTATTGTGTAGCCATGTCAGGGGAACGTTTGAACCAGTGATGATCCAGCACTGTTATCTGTGCTTTTAGTTGAAGTCCCCATAAGTCTGCACTCCTCACCTCATAGGACAAATTAACCTTTAACACATATCCTTTGTTCTTAAACTATAGCAGTCAGCAGTTCATGTTGTGCTTATAGCATACAATAGATAAGGTAGCAGAATTCTTAAAAGTATGCTAAGAAGGGAATATAAATTGCTTTTATATTGGTTTAGATTTGGTGCAGTATTGAGTTGTCATTATGTAATTGGTGGAAAAATTCTGCAAGATCCTGATGTCAGTTTGCCTATACATGCTTATGCTTTTGTCGGCAAAGTTGTCAGCATCTTGAACTTTCTTAGGAATACTTTCCTTGATCATGATCAATAAAAAAAGAAAATATTTTCTACTCCAGTGGTTAGTATTCATTTGGACCCCTTATTTGAACCCAGCTAAAATTTGTAATTCCCCCATCAACTGCAAGTGCAACCCAGAGTTTGCAAGTTAGAATGTACCTATAGTTTACAACAAACAATTAATTTGCAGTACATGCAAGGAAAAAATGGGGGGGGGGGGATAAAAGATCATGTAGTTAAACCTCAGACTCCTTCAAGATTCATTCTCTAAGGGCCAAATCATGGCCTGGCATAGTGTCTTAATCAAGCCAATGTGTGTATAGGGCTTTGAGCACTTAGGAAAAAGCACTACATAAATACTAAGTATTAGTGTGGCAAGAAGCCCATAAGATAAATGATACCTTCTTCACATCTTGAACATTAGAGTAAGCCAATGAGATGCCTGCTACTCTCATGGCACCACCATTACCATAGGAGCCTTTTCCATTAAACTGCTGTCTTGCTGGCTCAAAAACATCTCTGCATTTGGGGCTGAGGAGTTTCTTGAACACAGTAATCACACCCCTTCCATAGCTCCGGTCAGGGTCTTTCTTGTATTCCTCAGCAAACCTGCCAAAGAGAGACTGTATTAAGGCTCATGGAGGAGGAGACGAAATTGAATTTATACCCTGCCCTTCACTTGAAGTCTCAGAGCAGCTTACAAACTCCTTTCCCTTCCCCTCCCCACAACAGACACCCTGTGAGGTAGGTGGGGCTGAGAGAGCTCTTTCCAGAACTGCCCTTTCAAGGACAGCTCTTGTCAGAACTATGGCTTGCCCAAGGTCATCCAGCATCTGCAAGTGGAGTGGGGAATCAAACCCGGTTCTCCCAGATTAGAGTCCACGCACTTAACCACTACACCAAACTAGACACTGCAGCCCTATTTACGTTACAGAAAATGCACATACAACCTGCATACACTTGATTTTTCTTTACACGTGCTGAGCAATTCTCATTACATTCAATGCATGTACAACTGTGTGATTTAAATGCTACATTTATCCAAGCACTGGTCCCCAATTTCATTTGTAAACACATATTGGCTGTTTCTTTTAAACAGATTTATGCTTGTACAAGCAGGATATTCATTGTAACATGTGAACAGGATGACTGGGATTTGTATACATAGCTGCTCATGTCAGAAAAGACTGACCATATTTAGATTTAAAATCAATCACCGTGGATAAATAAATATGGAGGAACTGTATAAGAAACATAAATGTCAGCCTGCCTAACAATGATAAATACTTTATCCAGATGGGAGGATTGACTGTTCAGATTAATCAATCAAGCTACTGCTGACAAATTCTACTGTCACTTAAAAGATGGTAGTTCATTCTTCTCAAAGATACATACAACTTGGAGATGCTCCCAATAGTATTCCTTGGATGCATCTAGAAAATATATACAAAGACATGGCTAGACTCTGACCAGAGATGCACATCTCGCTAGGGGCAAAAGGTGATGATCTGAGATGCATGTCCAGAAAGGCAGGGTGGTGGTGAGAGTCAGAAACTGCTTAAAATCTGAGAGAAGAAATGCTCACTGAAGTCCATCTCTTTCTCTAGCAAGCCAAGCAAGGTGCCTGTTTCAGTGGCAGTGTTTGTAGTCTTGTTTATAGCTATGTCTTCCTCCTTACCGCTTTGCTATATCCACTTCATCAAAGTCTCGCTTGGCCAGGAGCGACCTCACTACACAATGTGTCATGGCTGTGTCATCACTGTAGAAAAGGGTTTCTGAAATGTAAAAGAAATAAAGAAATTCAAATGCTGAGATTTGAGGGGGAGACAGTAACGTTCATGTACAGTTTTGGGTGGGAGGTGTCTATTCAGGAGGAAAAGTCACAACATATTCTGTGAATGAATGAATGTTTATTTGCTGTCAAAGACCATTTTTCATAGGAATACATTATTATACAGCCAAAGGGATTCATTCCAGCACAGAAAATGTTTAGTCATAAAAACCTTAAAATATTTATAAACTATAATAATCCAAAACAACCCGTTAAGATATATCTAAAATGTCTATGTAGAATGGTTACAAGTCATACAGATAAAAAACTTTACATCATCATACTTTTATTGTGAAATTTTACCAAGTAGAAGCAGAATTTGGCTATTTGTCTGGAGATAGTTGGATTTTCATTAACTAAAAGTCTCTTCAGGCAGGTTTTATCTGCATCTACTGATGGTCTGTCTAAAAATGGGGACTTAAACTTATCCCTATGAACTTGATGGAATGGGCACCTATGAACCATCGATTCCTCTTCTCCAACAGAACAAGGGCAACATCTGTCTTCATATGGGATCTTCCTATATTGCACGTCTAGAACCCTTGAAGGGATAACTGCATAACAAGCCAAAGTAAAAGCTCTTCTATGAGAGAACATATTCTGTGTATACTTTAGAGGCTGCTGTGTGTAAAGTAAAATGGAAGAACAAAGAATTTGAATCTTATCAACGTACAGAGTGAAGTATCAAAAGGATAGGAACAACAAAAACATGCTTCAGAAAACAAAAACGTAGTGAACTAAGCTCTGAAGGAAATGACAGTTCAGAAACACATTGCAGAATAACAACACAACCCAGACCAGAGTAGTATCCATTTCCACAATCCTGAAATGTAGCACCATGGCTAACTAAAGGATAACGGTGGGACATATGGAAACATATGGGGTAAACTCAAGAGAAATAACTGCCCTCCTGAAGTTTGAAAGATGGGGCAGCAAAAACAAATACATATCTTTCATAAAATCAGAGATTCACTCAGTTCCTTAGTAAAACACTTCTACACATGAAGAGTGGGAAAAGCCACATATTACTAGCATGGGGAGGGGGGAATCAACGAAAGCACCGTGTTAATGATGCCACAATAAAATGTACGTACATTCCCCCCCCAATGATGTCATCCACAGCTGAAATGTTTTTTCTCAATTAAAAATGAAGGTATGCTTCAGTTTCACACTAAAAAAGGCTACATTTAGAGTAAGAGAAAAAATTAATATGCCCTCAGGAGAGGACATTGTCTATATTACAAACAGTGAAAGCCTATGCAGAGTTACTGTATTCTAAACCACTTAAACCAATGAGTTTAGACTGGATTACGCAAGTATAGGACTGCAATGTAATTAAGTGCTCGCTCCAAGCATGCCTCCTCTAAAGACAGATATAGGTCTGCTAAATCAGAAGTGCACAACAATCCAATCACATTAGATACAAAACAAAAGCAACCCTTTGTCAGAAGGAGGCAAGATCAGAACCATAAATCAGACAGAGATGCAGAATTCAAGAGTTTGCCCCACTTCTGAGGAAGAGACTTCTCTGAAGAGCTGGAAATTTAATCCTTTTTCCAGAACTCCTTTCTAGGAAGAAACATGAGTACACAGGACAGAAGACAGAGTAGACCTCTTTTTTCTTTGCAGCTGCCATCTAGAGATGTCCCATACCACCCACTTCAGCTTCCCTGAGCCAGCACTTCAACTCCCGACAGCAAAGATTGGAGCCAGTGCGTCCCCATTAGGAAACTGTGTTCAGAGTGATTGATGTCTAAGAACCAGTGGGTCTCCAAGAAAAAGATCTGCACCATCAGGCAAACCAAGACCTCCCCCCACCAATATATTATTACAATGTGCAATATACTAGGAATAAGGCCCGTTGTGGAAATAAATACAACGAGCTCTAGGAAGAGGCTCTGAGAGAGTGCCAAGGCCTTGGGCACTCAGCGTCAATTTGCTGTGGCGACCTCCTCAAACCCCACCCTCTCCAGGCTCCACCCTTGAAATCCCCAGGAATTTTCCAACCTGGAGTTGGCAACCCCATCCCCAACCATTATCTGTCCCTCTGGTTTCAGCTTTCTATCCCCCCCCCCCGGAGATCAGTTGTAATTCTGAGTGATCTCCACCCCTCACCTGCAGATTGGCAACAGTGGTTCCCCAGGAAGAATGGCTGGTTGGGAGGGTGGAGTCTATGGCATTGTACCTGTCTGAGGTCCCACCCCTCCTCAAGCCTCACCCTCTCCAGGTTCCATCCCTCAAATCTCCAGGAATTTCCCAGCTGGAGTTGGCAACCCTATCTCCCTCCCAGCCAATCATCAACTAACCTTTATTTCCCCCCTCACTCTTCAGCTTTCCATCTTCCCCTCCCACCTGCAGCCTCTACCCAGGAAGAAAAGTAGTCTTTCTCTGCAATGGAGACCAAAGCAGCTTACATCATTCTCCTCTCCCCCGTTTGACTTGCACAACAACCCTGTGAGGTAGGTTAGGCTGAAAGTCTGTGACTGGTCCAAAATCATACACTCAGCTTCCACAGCAAGAACCTGGATCTAGCAGACCCTGCTCTGAAGCATTGACTGATACACCTAGGGTAGCCAACCTCCAGGTGTAGCCTGAAGATCACCAGGTATCACAACTGAACTCCAGACAGCAGATCTCTCCCCCCTGGAGGAAATAACTGCTTTGGAAGGTGGGCTTTATGGCATTATGTTCAGCTGAGGCCTCTCCCCTCCCCAAACCCTGGCTTCCATAGACTCTACCAGAAAATCTCCAGGAATCTCCCTAGCTGGACCTGGCAACCCTAGTCAGGACTGGTCACAATTAGTTCCTCATAAAGGCCTGCAAAGGGTTTCCTTCCTTTGCCTGAAGCAAGCTTGGTTGCCTACTGTGGTGAAACGGGCTCCAGTTTACAACTCAGCTGGATGGGCTGGAGTCTATATTGATGCTGCCCTGCCCCTTGGGACAGTCCCTCTTTTCCCGCCCTTTTTGCCTTGGGGTAGCTGGGAACTGTAGGCCAGCAGATGAGGAATCCCCATTCAACCCAGTGAGTGATACCCCTACAGGTCCCTCTCTGGAACTATAGCTCAATTAAACCTTATGGGGGAACATTTTAAACAACCAACCACAGACGGCAGCCATCTTACAAACACAGGTAACTGCCATTTTGTTACACCTACCAACAGCCACTGAGGGAACAGTTAGTCCCACACAGGAGGCAAGCAGGAGAAGCATCTTCATCAAGAGAGAAAGCCGTTTGCCAGTAATTCTGACAGGGCACAGTGGCTGAAGGGGGAGTGGATGGGGAAGAGGGACCGCCTTTCCCCATATGTTCCCCCAAGGGCACTACGGTCCGGGACTCAACATCTCCTGGTAATTCCAGGCCACAAAGATACCAAACTTGCTGCAACCAGGGCCAGGGCCTTTTCGGTGGCGGCTCCTACCTGGTGGAATGAGCTCCCAGAGGAGATCTGGCCCCTGCGGGACCTGGCGCAGTTCCGCAGGGCCTGTAAGATGGAGCTCTTCCGCCAGGCTTTTGAGTAGGAGCCTCCACCACCGCACCACCATCACCGCACCACCACCACCAATTGGAGTGGGTACCATCGGGGAGTGAGATGGCCCTGGGATGAAGAATGGATGGCAGTGCTGTCTGGAACTTACTTTGTTACTTTGTTGTTCTGGGACCATCTTTACCAGAACTCCATCTTATTATTAAGGACTTTTGTGACACCTAGAGCACCTGCACTTTACTGTATTGTATAAATGATTGTTTTATTCTGTTTTTAATTGTATTAATCTTGGCATACGTGCCTCATCTGTTAGCTGCCCTGAGCCCGCTTTGGGGAGGGCGGGTTATAAATCCAAAAAAAGAAGCCTGTCTTAGTTGGGCATTCACCTGTTCCTAGAGGGCTGAGCAACCCTCTGCCATTCAAAACCAGTTCCAGGAGTTAAAACTAAACAGGGTCACAGGGTGGGAAATTATCCCCAGAGTTTCTAAAGGGTTACACCCAACCACCATCCTGTCTGCTATGCCACACATTTAAAATATCAATTTTGTTTCATAGGAAAACACCATAACCTTATTACATGCAGCACATCATCATCACAATATTCTGCTTAGCAACTGTCTTACTTACTAAATGTAACTACTTACTTACAGCTATCTGACTTACTAAATGGAAATATCAACAGTGGGGCCAAAGAATGCAAAAGCCACAGTCAGATGTTTGTTATCTGTAGATTTGTTTCTAACACCAAGGTGGGCTGCAGCTCACTGCTAAAGCATCTATTTTGCACACAAAAAGTCCCAAACCCAATCATTTCCAGTTAAAAGGATGAGGTAGTAGCAGCGTGGAGGGCAAGAGGTCTGGACAGCCACTGACAGAGTAGGCATTACTGACCTTGATACACAAAGGTCTGACTCAGTATTACAGTGAATGCATGTACATCCTGCATATATGGGCAGATATCATTATAAGAACAAGTCAATACAGGTTCACTTTACAAATGAAACCAGGAACTAGTACCTAGATAAATATCGGGTTTAAACCACATGTTCAGCTGTACATTCCTTGAATGTAACATGAGAACACACATATGAAGAAAAATCAAGTGTATACCACACATGGATTGCACATGCGTTCACTGTAACATGTGAACAGGGCTACTGTAAGGCAGCTGCAAGTGTGTTCTGTGCAAAGATCACAGGCTGACCTTGACAGACCAAACATCTGATTCAACAGAAGGGTGCCAGGCAGGGGACAAGGCTCAGTGATATGGCATTTATTTTACTTGTAGAAGGTTCCAAACCCTGCCATTGCCAGGATCAGGTCAAAGGTAATGAAAAAGACACCTCTTCTTGAAACCCTGGAGAACTGCTGCTGGTCAGAGCAGACAAGAAAGATCTTTATCAGCCATACAGTAGATAGGGCAACTTCACATACTTGTGTGTTCTGTGCAAAGATCACCAGATCATAGCTGGGAGGGGGGTGCACTCTTCAATCTGGGGAATGACGTCATGAAAAGTCCCCCAAACCAGGGAGGAAAAACACATAAGCACCAAGCATCTAACAAAGTGAAGTCAAGTGGAAACTGAGGCTGAAATAAAACATAATTAGTCATTTAAGATGCTGCAAGTCTCTTTTTTCTTTTAACCACCTGTATTGTTAAAGCATTTAATGATTTGGGAGACCTGAATTCAAATTCTGACTTGCCATGAGGCTTTTAGGAAGACCTTGGGCCACTCAAGGTTTCAGCGCCTAGCCTACCTAAAGGGGCCACAGTTCAGGGGTAGAGCATCTGTTTAGCATGCAGAAGGTCCCAAGTTTAACCCCTAATTATCATCATCATATAGCACTGTGTGTATAATAGCTAGGAGATCCTAAGATTGTCTGGCAGACAAAGTTCTAGCTCTTTAGCATTATGCACATTTAATGTTTAACCCCTGGCATCTCCAGATAAAAGGATCAGGTAGTAAGTGATGTGAAAGAGCCATGCCAGTCTGAATAGACAATACTTACTTTGATGGACTCATGGTCTGATTCAATGTGAAGTACCTTTGTATGTTCATAACTCACTGCGCTGTTGTGAGGCCAATATTAGACCTAACCTTGAGTCAGCCTAACCTACCTCACAGAATTGTTATGAGAATACAGTTCCTCATCAAAGGCTCCTAAGTAAGCTCAATAGTCATGGAATAAAAGCACAAGTCCTTTTGTGGATCAAAAACTGGCTAGTTAATAGGAAACAGAGAGTAAGTATAAATGGGTAATTTTCTCAATGGAGGGTGGTAAGCAGTGGGGTACCACAGGGATCAGTATGGGGTCCGATGCTTTTTAACTTGTTTATTAATGATTTGGAGTTGGGAATAAGCAGTGAAGTGGATAAATTTGCAGATGACACAAAGTTGTTCAGGGTGGTGAGAACCAGGGAGGATTGTGAAGCACTCCAAAGGGATCTGTCGAGGATGGGCGAGTGAGCATCAGTGTGGCAAACGGGGTTCAATGTGGCCAAGTGCAAAGTGATGCGCATTGGAGCCAAAAACCCTAACTATAAGTACACGTTGATGGGGTCCAAACTGGCAGAGACTGTATAAATCAATGGTGCGACCTCATTTGGAGTACTGTGTACAGTTCTGGTCACCACACCTCAAAACGGATATTACAGCATTGGAAAAAATGTAGAAAAGGGCAACTCGAATGATAAAAGCGTTGGAACACTTTCCCTATGAAGAAAGGTTAAAACCTTTGGGGATCTTTAGCCTGGAGAAACAACGGCAGAGGGGGTGACATGATCGAGATTTATAAGATTATGCATGGGATAGAGCAGGTAGAGAAAGAAGTACTTTTCTCCCTTTCTCACAATACAAGAACTCGTGGGCACTCAATGAAATTGCCGAGCAGTCGGGTTAGAACAGATAAAAGGAAGTACTTCTTCACCCAAAGAGTGATTAACACATGGGATTCACTGACACAGGAAGTGGTGGCGGCTACAAGCATGGACAGCTTCAAGAGGGAATTAGATAAACAATATGGAACAGAGGTCCATCAGTGGCTATTAGCTATCTATTTCATAGACAGGAACTCTCAGGCTGGGGCAAGGGATGCTCTGTCTTCTTGGTGCTTGGGGGGGGGGGGCAACAGTGGGAGGGTTTCTAGTGCCCTGGCCCCACTGGTGGACCTCCTGATGGCACTGGTATTTCTGGCCACTGTGTGATACAAAGTGTTGGACTGGATGGGCCATTGGCCTGATCCAACATTGGCTTCTCTCATGTTCTTATAATACAAGGAAAGAATCACCCTGAGTTGGCTGGAAGAACGGGATTAAAAAGTACTAAAATAAATAGGCGTTTACTGTCTACCATCTCCACCCCTCTCCCGAAGTTTATCGTTTGGGAGGTCTGTTCTTCTACCCGTAGGAAAATGGCGCTGTCTCCCCCCCCCCCCCCCCAAAAAAAACACTTTACTCGACCTGAGGAAACCAGATGCGGATAAAGGGAGAGGGCTCGAAATTGCAGTTCAGGCACCTCCCCACACCATCATTTACGATGTTTGAGGAAGAGAGCTTTGGCCAAAGCTAATATACCCTGAAAATCTTGTTGGCCTCTGAGAGGCTACCGGACTCGAGTCTAACTGGTCTACGGGCGGGGATCGTCTTTTGAAAGGCTTTTGAAAGATCATCCTCATACCCCTCCCGCTATGCAACAAATGGAGGGGGGGGCAGCCCTTCCTCCTCGGCTGAGGTAAAAAGAGACTCACTCCTATCGCCCTCGACTCCCTCCTCGCCGTCTTTATCTTGCGGCTGCAAGGAGCGCACGAAGCGCAGCAGCTCCGCCAGGTCAACAGACTCCAAGGCCTCGAAGCCGCCGCCCAGGCAGTCGCCCAACAGAGCCCCGAGAAGGCAGCCCCGGAATCGGCTGCGGCTGATGAGACAGGCCGGCGGTACCGCGGCCGCCAAGCTGCTTCCCGCCATCTTGGCTGCCCTTCGCAGAGGGGAAGAGAGCGAGCGACGCCCTGTGGCCCGGTCCCGCCACCGCGGCTGACTGGCGAGCGAGACTCTCCTCCTTTTCCTTCCACCTTGGCCTTCGTTTTCCTGGCGCTCATTGCCAAAGGCGCCTTCGTACTGCGCTGGGGGCGGCGGCAGCAGCAGCAGGCATCAAAATAATTTAAAAATAAAAAATAGGATTTCGGTAGTGTTTTAGCATTCGGGTGACATCTTGGAATGACCAAAATTTCTTTTGGTATGAAAACTTAGACTAGCGTCTAAAGGTGCAGCCCTCCCCCCAGCTCCCGTTCATCGCTACTGGCAAATAAAACAAAAATCTAGTGGCACCTTAAAGACTTAACATTTGCTAAAATATGAGCTTTTGTGAGTTGCTACCCTCTTCATCGAGGGAATCCGACTCTAGGGTTGCGGTGCTCATCTCCGTTTCAAAGCCGAAGAGCCAGCGCTGTCCGAAGACATTTCGTGGTCATGTGGCCGGCATGGCTAAACACCAAGGCGCACGGAACGCTGTTACCTTCCCACCGAAGTGGTACCTATTTATCTACTTGCAGTTTCTTGCTTTCGAACTGCTAGGTTGGCAGGAGCTGGAACTAGAGATGGGAGCTCACTCCGTCATTGCGCCATGCAGCAACTCGGGTCTCTAACGGCTGAACCACCGACCTTCCACAGCCTGCAGTTCAGCGTCTTAACCACTTGAGCCATGCTGATTTTCCCTCAGCAGGCTTTCTCCCTCTATGTGCCTATCTTTGATTCTATCTTTGATTACAGTTTCTACTAATTTGCCGGGGACAGATGTTAGGCTGACTGGCCTGTAATATCCTGGTTCCCCTCTGGATTCCTTTTTAATAGATGTTAGTCTTTAAAAATGTCACTAGATTTTTGTTTTATTTTGCAGTGGCCATGCAGGGAGGGGACATCTTTAGATACTAATCTGTTTTCATGGCCTTTCAAAGGTGCTACCTGAATGCTAAAGCAAGACTGAGATCCATGTAATATCTTTTATCAGGAACAACCACCAAATTGAACACAAACAAAGCCCCACTGTGCAAAGTTTCAAGAATTCTACATCATGTTGGATGTTACCCAAAAATTAAAAATAAAAAGAGTGAGGGAAAAAAGCAAAATTTTAAGGCCGTAATGTCTGAGGCAGGCAAGCACATATTAGCTTAATTTTATGGCTAGTGTGATAGTTGTCTGGTAACAATACATTCACTAGTAGCAAGCTAAACTTGGTCCATATTGTCCATTCATTGTTCTTTCACTAAAGCATAGAATCTACTCCAAGCCCATCCAGAATTGTCTAAAACTCCAAATAAGAAACACAGTTCCCCTGGAAGTACCTTAACAGTATTTGAGATAAATGGAAGGTATTGCAGAAGGTAAGAGTCAATTAAAGCCAAATTAGGTGGTATTGCCTTGTTTGGAGAGCATAGTATTTTCCCAGCTCTGCTTCCATTTTATTGGCAATTCCCTGTTTCCTTGGCTTGCTTTCACACACACACTCAATAATGCCGTTTCAATCCACTTCAGCAACTATTTGCAAGTGGATTTTACCATTTCACACAGTAAAATCCAGTTACAAAGTACATTGAACGTTGTTTGGAAATGCATTATTGAGTGCGTGTGAAAGCACCCTTAGTATCCGGGAAGAAAAGATTTACAGCCATACTGGTTAACACAAAATCTCCTTTTATTAGGACCAACCAAATTGCCACAAAATATTGTGTGAGCTTTTAAGCTCATCAGAACTTTCAATCAGCTTGGATGTTACAAAATTTTGAGAAGCAGATACTTCAGGTCATGATGTCACAACCTGATCTTGCATGCATGCTCTGTGAGAAGCCATCAGGGAGTCAGCTTGTCTTTATTGCTGGTGTCATTACAGCACATTCTCTGGGAAGCTGGCTGAGTACCTTACAAACTTTAAATGGATACAACCATTAAAACTGGGAATGAATCTGAAATAGCAGGATTTTGCTGAGGGCCAAAGGCACAAACAACACAGTCACTGAGGTCAGGTTTGTTTATTGGTTACCACTTTAAACAGTCAAAAAAGGGACAGGCATACAACTATGGGATGGAAAGAAAAAGGAGGAAACAAACATTCAAATTTGACACAGGTGGCAGCTTGCCTTGGCATGGAGCCATTGGTGGGGGGAACACTTTCTTAAATGTTCTTCCGGGGATCACACACTGAGCCCATCACACTATGCCAGTTCCAGCTGCCGGCTCTTGAGGGGAGAGAGGGTGCGATTGGTGGTTCGGTTGAATGTGTCCACTTCTGGCACAAATTTCTCAGCAGGGACTGTCAGCTTCCGTCGGGAGTCCAAGCATTTGTTATCAAGGATCAGGGAATTGGTTTTGTAGCCAATGTCTGTCTGGATGCGGTACAAGTGTTTGTAGAGAGCATCCAAAGCATCCCTGTAGAAAGCCAAGATGAGGTGATCAGGGTTTAGATTTGTATCAAAGCTTCTGGCTGTTTAGTTTTTAAATTAATATGCTGCTGGTCCAAATTGTGTTCAAAGAAGATTTAGAAAAAATTAGTGTTAGATTGTACAGATCTATTCTACTAGTGAAGGTATTTGCCTCCAGCAGAAGTAGCCTACTCATGATATAAGATGCTTTTCTGAGTGCCTTGCACCAGGGAAAGGCCCCTACTGCCAAATAAAGTGCTAGTAGAATGGATCCATGCGAGATTCAACCAGATGGCAGTAATAAAAAAAAAGATTGGAGTTGGACTAACCCTGGAGGTCCCTTCCAGCTCTATAGTTCTGTGATTCTATGATCCACACACCTATCTGAGGGGAAATTTTTATAAACCCTCTCAGCATTCATCTAAAATATGTACCCATCTTTTCATTGTCAATAAAGGGACAGTCATAAGACTGTATTTTCCATTTTGGTAGCTGTAGGTTAATAAGGACTAGTAACCTTGGAGAAAGCTGGATTTTTCGTTCCATAATAGGCTAAATGATCACACTTCTGAAATGTTTGCACATAGCTTTTTCCCTGCAAGGATTTACACTGACATAGGGGAGGAAAACCCATGCAATTATACATGTATATATTATACATCTCTCTCATGGATCCCTGCCTTGACATAGCAAGGGGGCTTGTCTGGTTCAATGAGGCTGTGGGCTATGCCATGAAGGGCCACCCAGGATGGACAGGCCACAGTGGAGAACTTAGACAAAATGTGATTCACTGGAGAAGGAAATAGCAACCCACTCCAGTATCTTTGCCAAGAAAACCCCATGGACAGTAACAAAAAGCTAAAAGATATGACACTGGAAGACAAGCCCCTCAGATCAGAAGGTGTCCAATATGCTGCTGAGGAAGAGCAGAGGGCAAGTACAAGTAACCCCAAAAAGAGTGAAGTGGCTGGGCCAAAGCCGAAAGGACACTGAGCTATGGATGTGTCTTACGGTGAAAGGAAAGTCCGATGCTGCAAAGAACAACACTGCATAGGAACCTGGAATGTAAGATCTATGAATCAAGGTAAGTTGGATGTGGTCAAAAATGAGATGGCAAGACTGAACATTGACATCTTGGAAATCAGTGAACTAAAGTGGACGGGGATGGGCGAATTTAACTCAGATGACCATTATATCTACTACTGTGGCCACGAATCCTGTAGAAAAAATGGTGTGGCCCTTACAGTCAACAAGAGAGTGAGAAAGTAATGGGATAGAGTCTCAAAAACGACAGAATGATCTCGGTCCAAATCCAAGGCAAACCATTCAACATCACAGTAATGCAAGTCTATGCCCCAACCACTGACGCAGAGGAGGCTGAAATGGACCAGTTCTATGAAAACCTACAACACCTCCTAGAACTAACACCAAAAAAAGATGTCCTTGTCATCATAGGGGACTGGAATGCTAAAGTAGAAAGTCAAAAGGTAACCAGAATAATGGACAAGTTTCGCCTTGGAGAACAAAATGAAGCAGGGCAAAGGCTAACAGAGTATTGTCAAGAGAAAATGCTTGTCATAGCAAACACGCTCTTCCAACAACCTAAGAGGCGACTCTACATCTGGACATCACCAGATGGACAACACCGAAATCAGATTGATTATATCATTTTCAGTCAAAGATGGAGAAGCTCTATACAGTCAGTAAAAACAAGACCTGGAGCTTACTGTACTCAGCTGAACTATTCAAAGTCTTAAAAGATGATGCTGTTAAAGTGCTGCACTCGATATGCCAGCAAATTTGGAAAATGCAACAGTGGCCACAGGATTGGAAAAGGTCAGTTTACCTTCCAATCCCAAAGAAGGGCAATACCAAGGGATGTTCAAACTATCGCACAATTGCACTCATTTCACACACTAGCAAGGCTCAAGATCCTACAAGTTAGACTTCAGCAGTATGTGGATAGAGAAATGCTAGAAGTTCAAGCTGGATTTCGAAGAGGTAGAGGAACGAGAGATCAAATTGTCAACATTCGCTGGATTATGGAGAAAGTGAGTACCAGAAAAATATCTACTTTTGCTTCATTGACTACACTAAAGCCTTTGATTGTGTGGATCACAACAAACTGTGGAAAGTCCTTAAAGAGATGGGAGTACCAGACCACCTCACATGTCTCCTGAGAAACCTGTATAAGGGTCAAGAAGCAACAGTTAGAACCGGATATGGAACAAATGATTGGTTTAGCATAGGAAAAGGAGTAAGACAAGGATGTATATTGTCACTGTTTATTTAATTTATATGCAGAGTACATCATGCGAAATGCCGGCCTGGATGAATAACAAGCCGGAATTAAGATTTCCAGGGAAAACATCAACAACCTCAGATATGCAGACAATACCACTCTAATGGCAGAAAGTGAAGAGGACCTAAAGAGCCTCTTGCTTAGGGTGAAAGAGGAGAGTGCAAAAGCTGGCTTGAAACTCAACATAAAAAAAACCTAAGATCATGGCACCCGTCCCCATCACTCCTTGGCAAATAGAAGGGGAAGTCATGGAAAC